TCGTGTGACAGCTTTTATTTCTCTAGGATATATTCCTAGGAGTGGGATTGCTGGATCGTATGGTATTTCTATTTCTAGCTTTCTAAGGAAGTGCCATAACATTTTCCAAAATGGTTGTATCATTTTGCATTCCCACCAGCAGTGCATAAGAGTTCCGATCTCCCTCCAGCCTCTCCAGTGTTTGTTATTTCCACTGTTTTTGATTCATGCCAGTAGTGCGGGGTGAGATGGTATCTCATTGTGGTTTTGATTTGCCTTTCTCTAATGGCTAGTGAGCACGAGCATTTCCTTATGTGTCTGTTGGCTGCTTGAATGTCTTCTTTGGTGAAGGGTCTGTTAGTTTCCTTTGCCCATTTTTTAATAGGATTATTTGTCTTTTTGTTGTAGAGGTGTTGGATTTTCTTGTAGATTTTGGAGATTAGACCATTATCTGACTTGTACTGTCCAAAATTTTTTTCCCAGTCTGTAGGTTCTCTTTTTACTTTTTTGGTGAAGTCTTTTGAAGAGCATAGGTGTTTGATTTTTAGACGATCTCAGCTATCTAGCTTATCTTCTGGGGTTTGTGTGTTGTTGGTTATGGTATGTATCCTGTTAGTGCTGGGTATTATGACCTGTAACATTGGTCCTATTTTTTCTTCTATGAACTTCATAGTTTTTGGCTTTATATTTGGGTCTTTGATCCATTTTGAATTTGTTTTTGTACATGGTGTGAGGTATGGGTCCTGTTTCATTTTTTTGCAGATGAATATCTAGTTTTGGCAGCACCATTTGTTAAAAAGACTGTCTTTTCCCCATTTGATGGACTTTGACCTCTTGTGGAAGATCAGGTGACCGTAGGTGGATGGATTTACATCTGGGTTCTCTATTCTCCTCCAGTGGTTAATGTATCTGTTGTTGTACCAGTACCAGGCTGTTTTGACTATCGTAGCTGTATAGTAGATTCTGAGGTCAGGTAGTGTGAGTCCTTCTACTTTCTTCTTCTTCTTCTATAGTGTTTTCCTTATTTAGGGCTTCTTCCCTTTCCATATAAAGTTAATGATTAGTTTTTCCATCTCTTTGAAGAATGTTGTTGGTATTTGGATGGGGATTTCATCGTATTTGTAAATTGCTTTGGGTAGAATTGTCATTTTCACAATGTTGAGTCTACCTATCCATGAGCATGGTACGTTTTTCCATTGATTTAGATCCCTTTCTGTTTCTTGCAGTAGTGTTTTGTAGTTTTATTTGTATAGGTCCTTTATATCTCTGGTTAGATTTATTCCTCAGTATTTTACTTTTTGAGGGGGCTATTATGACTGGTATCGTTTTCCTGATTTCCTTTTCATCTTTCTCTTTATTGGTGTATAGGAATCCAACTGATTTTCGTATGTTTATCTTTTATACTGCTACTCTGCTGAATCTTTGTATTAGTTCCAGTAGATTTCTTGTGGAGTCTTTAGGGTTTTCTTTGTATAGTATCATATCATCCACAAACAGGGAGAGTTTAACTTCTTCATTGCCAGTTTGGATGCCCTTTATTTCTTTTTCCTACCTTATTGCTCTAGCTAGGACTTCCAGCACAATGTTAAATAGGAGTGGTGATAAAGGGCATCCTTGTGTTGTTCCTGTTCTCAGGGGGAATGTTTGCAACCTCTCTCCACTAAGAATGATATTGGCTGTTGGTTTTGCATAGATGCCATTTATTATGTTGGGGAATTTCCCTTTTATACCTATTGTATTGAGAGTTTTTATCAGGAGTGGGTGTTGGACTTTGTTTAATGTCTTTTCTGCATCATTTGAGATGATAATGTGATACTTCTCCTTTATTTTATTTATGTGGTGGGTTAAACTGATTGATTTTCTAATGTTAAACCCTCCTTGCATACCTGGTATGAATCCTACTTGGTCGT